GTAGACGTGGCGGCGCAGGTAACCGGCGTGCGGCAGCTCGACCGCGCTCCTCGTGTAGATCGGGTTGCCGAAGAACAGCTCGGAGCACGTGACCACGAAGAAGAACAGCACGAGGCCGCCGAACGCGGCTAGGTACCACACGGCGGACAGCGTTTCTTCGTCCGCGCCGGACGTCCCGTCGTCGTCTTGATAAAAAAAAAATAAAAACCCGCAACGTTAATCTTTCCGTTCTGCTAATGCGAAGGAATAATTTTTTCCCTGGCATAAGTGTAAAACAGAAAATCCTATCCATACATATTATATACGTCGTACACGCACGCGGCTCACCGTCCGGTGTAAGGTACGCACGTTCCGCCGATACGTCGACCCGAACCGGAACCACGGTATAACACGACCATCGTGCGCGCCCTATCCCATCCGTCCGTCTACGGTCACCAATATTGTACAACATTGTGTGAACACTATAATACTGTATTGTATACACACATCGTATGCACTACGCTCCATCCAGTCCGGTCGAGATTTCTCCGATGTCGTCATCGTGCACAATAATACACACATTTTCTTCGTTCGTGGTGTACAAGACACTAACCTATATCCGGGCAAAATGCGAACAATTTACATCTTCTTTTCGCCATCGGTCTCGCGTTATTTATAATAGATAGCGAATTATAAGAACTATCGACAAGTGAAAGGATAAAATTAAGAAATATCAGAATCGTAAAAACGTCCACGTGTGTGGGATTTATAACGTTTTCCGATTACAGCGAAAAAAAAAAGTTGTGTGTCCGTGTGATAACACGAAAAATAAGATTCGAACGCTTTATTTGAGTAAGTATCTCGTTACGAAACGAAACTGTGCGACGTGTTTAAAACTACGTAACTCGACAAACGGATTAGTTGTCCTATCACGCGTCGTCGTAGTAGTTTTGAGAATAGAAAATCGTAACACGAGTGAAAGACACAGCCCGCCGGCGAGGGTTGAGCGATGACAGGACAATTATTTAACGTTTCGTATAACGCGTACATACGAGTAGAATGTAATAAAAATATATGTATTTGTCAATCCGTACCGATAAAAGCCAAGAAAAAACGGATTTGTATAAAAGAATACGTTTTCATCTGTCACACTCGTATTACATCACGGTGTGTAAAAGCATATTACTCACTATCGACGTTACAATATGCAAGAAATGTTGGTATGACACAGTGGAGGGGAACGGTATTGGATAGTTTTAAAACCTGCCAAATAGCTTCATTTTTTCCGCTCCTCGCCTGACAAACGTATGACTATATACCCCTTCCACGGCTTGTTTCTTTCTGCGGGCGCCCTTGTAACAAAACACGACCGGAGTTTTTAACAAACAAAACATGACGACAACGACGATATAAAAATTAAAATAAATCTCGCAATCAAGATTTGCTAGGTATAAAAATCCCCGGTTAAAGTGTACACATATTGTACTTCAAGTATACACAATAATATGTTATTCATCATGACCGTCGTATAATAGAGTTTATCATCAATAACTGTGTTCAAGTATTTACATCCATATTGGATGACGTATTTATCTATTGATGAAATTCGCGAAAAAACGTCAAACGGTTTATGGTTTATTACCAAAAAATTTTATTGAGAACAGATTATAGGTAAATCTACGACAAGCCGTCTATAGGTAAACAGCGAAATTAGATAACCGCCGTATTAACGACATATTGTGTGCTACAATAATCTACACATTATCTTTCTGCTACCTACTTCATGCGTTCGCGTTATTTATGATGATCAAAATCGAATAATAGAAGAAAAAAATTAACTTCCCGTAGGCTATATTATAATCGACTATTTACCGTTACACTGATCGATGACAAATAGTAGAATGCATTCCTATCCAATTCGTGGTTTTTTTTTTTTTTATCTTGATTGCATTTTACGAGTATTTTACGCGCCGTTTGTGCAATTTACCTTGAACCTTTGCTGACTATTTGGACGCGCGTTAAAAATGCTCATTGTACCCATAAAACATTACTGAGCATCGGTGTTGAGAGAGAGAAAGAGGGAGGGAGAGAGAGAGAGAGAGAGAGAGAGAGAGAGAGAGAGAAAGAAAATACCGATTAAGCATACTTAATGTTTTGTTATCGGATGGCACGCAGTAAATCGCGAGTATGAAAATACCGAGTTTACAAAGCGAAAAAAAAAAGAAATCGCGCTAGAAATAAAAGCTGCTAAATATAACGGCGTATTATAATAATTATAATAATACGATCACGAACGAATTTCAATAATCTCGAGTTTGCAGGATGCGAGTATAAATTATTATTAAGATTCATTAATTAATATTATTTGTGTTAAGATTTCTGCGAAAGTGAAAATAATATTCGAACGGCGTACGGCGTAACCGATAAAACGCATTTTCAAGTTCGCACGTGGTAATTGTGAAACTCGCGTGACAATATCGTCGACCTCGCACGCGATTTACGTATAAGGTAAAGATATACATCTGGTAAATATATATGTATGTTGTGTGTGTTATATCGTGTCCAAGAGCAAATGGTCACGAGTGTTCGTTTGGCGTCCCCGTCAACCCTTCCGTCATCACCATGTAATACATCTATTCAGGGGATTTCTATACCGAAAAATTTGTTTCGAGAGGGTTCAAAATTCTTACTACCACAAATCTCAAGTGTATTTATTACACAAGATAATAATTTGGTAATAATTAATTGTACAGCAATAGATAGATCGACAATGGATTATAAAAATAACTCTGGAAAATGTTCATGATATGAAACTTCAATCGTATACAAATATATAATACAGTAAGTACTTTTTTTTAAATTGTTAAAATGTCGGTGGGGGGATTTTAAAGACTTAAACCTCCCTTCTAGGCACGCCCTCGTATCCATTGACCATCGGTATTCCGTAGCCGCCCCGAAAAAAGTTCCCACTCCCTTGCACCGCGAAAATCCGCCTCTAACCTCCGTCCTTCTATTATTACCTGTACAAATCGCCTTACCACTATCCCGGCGGATTAGCACGTACGGATGTGTTGTACGTATATAATATGTAAGCCTGCAGTGGTGTTAGTTAATACAGGATGTACGGATGCTTACCGGTAATGTTAGCGACGTTTGAGTAGTTCTGATTGCTAAAAAACGCTTGGGAGCCGTCCTTCATCGCTGTCGTGGCGGTACCGTCAACTACGTCAACGGCGCCCTTCGGTCTCAATATCGTATTGTCTAGAAACAAAAAAACCAACAAAAAAAAAAAAAACGTTAAAAACTTTGATCGGAATATATGCAGTGACGGTTACGCAATGTTATTCGATATAAATGAAAAAGTATATGTGTGTGTGTGTATAATTTATACATATACATATAGACAGTGGCGTATTTTTTACATTTTTCTAAAAATGTAGCGGTTTTATAATATAAAAAAATACATATAAGGTATCATATGAATTAATAATAATATTATTATATTATTATTATAAAATACAAATTAAGAGTTATTTACGACCACATTATATAAATTAATATTCTCTTTCTCTGTGTCTTCGAAGCAAGTCACTTATGACCAAGGCTCGGAAGTTGTAGCAATAAAAATGTTACTTTTTAGCTCTTAAATATGCACTATAAATAGCACGAAAAATCAAAAAAATATGTATTTAACTTGAAAAAAATGTAATTGTAATGTAATTGTTGGGCTCATTAGACACAGTCTGGGCTGATTGAACTATAAACTGTTAACAAAAATGTTAAATTACTTAAATATATTTGTAAAAATGTACTTCTTATTAAATTATTTTATATATTTACCCTGGAAATTAACCTAGATTATTAAAATAATTGATAATCTAATGCAATGATATAAGGGGATAAAAATGACGTCACTAACTATTAAGTCATTAAATTGTCGATGAAAACATAAAATAATGTTTGATGATGTCTATTTATTTCCAATAATTAAAATATTTTTAAAAGTATAACTAAGTAAGTATAATTATCATCGACAAAATGTGATTATTTCTTACATTATGTGAAAATATACCCGAAAATAGCACTATAAACCCTAAATTAACAAAATAGCAATAAAACCCGTAAATATGCAAAAAATAGCAAAATTAAATTTTGTATATGATATCCGAGTAGTGAGAAACATATTTGTATCTTATTTTGAATGTTCTTGGATGAACCAAAAAAAAAAATATGTATTTGCTAGAACTTCCGAGCACTGCTTATGACTTTTAAACCGTTTTTTTTCTTTCGGGTGAGGTCGAGACTTGGTACCCCTTCCTCGAAAATACGCCACTTTGTATATATGATGATAATCAACGACAGGTCACGTACGTGTTGTAATACAATTTCTATTATTATTATTATTGAATTTCGGTACAGCGTGCTATTGAACACGGGTGGGCGACCGCGGCGGCTAGGGTTATGGAACGCGTGCAAAGGTCGCCGACCTCGAGTGACGGCGACCAACCGACTGACCGACCAGCGAATCGGCCGACCGGGATTATAAAATTATTTTCTAACGTCATCTTGTAGTCGTACAATGTGTTGTAATGGTATTACTTTATTTAGTGCGTGTTCGCCGTCGTCCGGTCGGTTGGCTGTTCACAGTACGCAACAATAATCGATAAACGAACAATAAAAATAATAAAACAGAGAGAACCCACACGTCAATCAACCATCGTCATCACGCCGGATTCGTTATCGTCCCAGGTCTTTTTATGGGAAAAATATTGCGGATTACCGAGGTCGTGGTCGTTGTTGTTTTCGTTGCAGGTCGAAAAGTATGGTACACACGCATTTCTGCAAATATTGTACCTACCATCGACCGCAACGGTCGTCACCTCTGAGTGCTGTTCGCGGGGGGTTATAATTTATATATTTAATCGTTTTTTATAATTTATTATGTATTATTTACGCGTTGCTTGTTCCGATGGCGACCTTGCGCAGCGCGTCCGCAACTCACGAAAAATATTTACGTTATTTTTTTTTTTTTGTCCCGCCACCTCGTGCATATTGCCGTATGTGCTCAACATGCGTGTTTTGTTCGTACACATGTATAAAACGCTTAATATTTGTATATTTATAGTGTTTTTCCTCCCTTTTCATATCGAAAAAATATAAATATATTCGAATTATTGCAGCCAGCGATTTTTATGTTTATTCCCCCCCCCCCCAGATAATAACGCGTATACGATTTTGACGGGGGTCCGACGTCGGATATTGATAATCATCATAATTTTATACTGCCAACGCTACGACGACCACGTTGCGAAGCGAGGCCGACGGTGCGCGATGACCGCACCAGTACCAACACACCCAGCAGAGAACACAGTCGAGATTATTTGCTCTTATCCTTACGAAACATCCGTAAATCCCGTAACCTTATCATGCCGGATAAACAACGCACGACGTGTGTGTATATACTCCTTCGTGTTCCTATTCGTTTAAACGAATACATGCGTTATTTCCACTGACCACCAGTTTGGAAAACTGAACAAGACGTACATTTTGTGTACGCAGAGCGATTTGATAGAACGTATTTGCAACACTAGAAGATCCGCGAATCCGTTGAATAATTATTCTTAGAGCTACTACTGCGACCGGTGATTATGTTTTATCATTCGGTTTGAGCCGTTACCATATTTTGAAAATCGGAGTTATGCCTGAGAAGAGTGAGACATTTGTAAGACTCGTGCTAGTTTAGAATTATTATATTAGGTCTGCATTATATAATTCGGAATATCCGAATGCTAAAAGAATTGTTCTGTATACCGTCACGTGAATTTCAACCGGTGTATCGATACGAAATTAGTGAACATAATATGATGATGATAAACATGATATGTGTGTGTGTGTGTATACCGTACACGCATAGGCGTATGTAGGGACTATTCAGATTATGCAGCTGCATACGCAACATGAACTAGGTACCAAATAAAAACAAAAATCATTTTAATATTAATATAAATCGATACGTAAACTTATTTGTTCATACAAAATTAATATACAATTCCGTATAATAATTTATACGATTGTATATGTGGACAGAGACGGAACCCGCCATTTTTTTGTTTGACAAAAAAAGAAAAATTTTTAATTTTTAAAACGTTTGAACATAATTGTTTACAAGATTTTTGAACACGTAAAATAAAGTTCGGAGAATGCAAGTGACTCTCTGCACGCCTATAAGCACGCGGGTATACAAAAAAGGAACGGTATGGATACGAGTACACCGCGATACGCAACAGCGTATTGTGCATAACAAAATACTAGCACGATGATCTCGGCGGTGTAAACATATTCGTCCGCTACACGCATGCCGGGTGTATTGTTATAGAGATTTGGACGAGCGGAACTCGTTTTTCCGCACGTACGCCATCGTGTATAATGTTACGTCTCGCGTCCGAACGATTTTTCGAACACATAGTGTTCAAGCCATCTTGCGTGCTCGCAAACACGCACGCACTCTCACTGTCAACCACGACCGGAAGCAAGTATTTTCAAATACCGTTGAACACGGAACGATGCTGCGTCGGTTTTGTTATTGTAATAATATTGTGTTCACACGTAGTGTTTTGGGACTGTCGACATAACGCCAAACCCTGGATTGTCGATTTGAAAACGGGTACCACGATTAACGCCACGGGATTTGATATGTATGTTTTTCGAACGACACTCGTTTTGTCTTGAGACCGGATAAAAACAGGAATTTTAGTGCCAATATAGTTATATGTATACGGGTGTATAAATCGTAATTGAACGTGTTCGCAAAGAAAAATATTAATATCTCGGTCGGTGTACGGCGCAGGTACTCGTGCGATTTAAGGCCGCTGCAGATATTGTACGTCGAAATAATCATGTACGATTTTACAATATTTACTCGCGTCCGGGACGATCGCGTTTGTTATGCACTTGAGTACTGTCGTCGCGTTGTCGCACGTGCGAATCCGGTTGAGCCAAGTGCGCTGTGACGAACAGAGGAATCATAATATAATTATTGAAGCCGTTCTCTATAGAGGCGCGTTACACGAATCCCGACCAGATATCATACGTGTGCTGTAAATTGAATTCAACGCAACAGTCGAGTGTCGTAAATAATGCGTAATGTGCCAAACGGAGTTATAATAAATATTGACGATATATTGTGGTAATAATGATTGTTATTATGTGTCACGTTGCCGTCCGTCCGTCCCGCCGCAGCCCGCGCTGACGTAAAAGTTCGGTTGTTTTTCTCTTGTGTTGTTACGCACGTGTGCGTCGTGAATTTTTTACGACCATATAGGAATTAATACATGTTTATTTGCCATATGTGTCGCATCAATTATTACATACGGTGCTATACAGGCCCGTCGTAGTTTGTACAGAGCGCAAAGCTTAATTGACGACGAAAAGAAAGAAACGAAAAAAACAGAGACGCTGCCCGTTGAACCCGCGGTCTTCGTAATTGTTATTTATTTTTCGAACGATATATGCGATGGCAATGACACCAATGGCGATCGCTGTACAGATAAGTAGAATGGAATCAACCAGTCCGACGGAAACGAAAAACTCGAGGACGCAAATTCTATTCGTGTTCGATTCCGTTATGTATACATTACGAACTTACGAAGTTACTTTACAAAGTGCATTATATGATAATGTACGTAATTATACGTAGTCCCCCTACTCTTCTCGTCATTATGGAGGGCAAACACGAGTGTTCAAAATGTACGGTCTCGGATTTAGAACAAACGGTAAAACTCAATTTGAAAGCGATCCCGCATGCACGGGTAACACACATTCATACCGGGTGATCGGTTCTTTAACGTTAATGATATCTTTCAAGCACGTTTTCTCGGTCGGTCTCTGCGGGTTGACATTCAATAAAATTTTGATAAATTTCTTATCGGCACAATCCGGGTGCGCCTAATTCGATGAACGAGCGGATAACATATGTAATACATTTTTTTAATCGCGAACGTTCGTGGCGAAACGTGTCTACGTGCACATGCACGTAGCGCGATTGAACATACCTGTACAACATACTTATACATGTCTATAACTGAATACAATTGTAGATATAAAGCTGGTAGGTCCTAGGTAATGGTCGTGGCAATTTTCCGGTTGACGAATCTAATACGTCGATGGATATGTGTGTGTGTGTGTGTGTGTGTGTGTGTGTGTGTGATGAAAAATGAAAAAGATTACCGTACGAGGATTAACTACGCGAGAAATCACGTAGGCACGCCGGGTCGGACGTGTTGCGGTAGGACGACCGGACCGGAGGGAAAACGCGAAACCCCTTAACGGGGCGTGTAGGCACAACGATCCGTGCGACCAAAAGGGGGATGATAAGCAAAACGAAATATCGTAGTCGGTCACTCACCTTTAATTTTGAGCATGACGGTGGCTGCGTCGGTGCACGAGGCGAGCGCGGCGACAACGGCCACTAGGACGGACCTGGGCACGTAACACCGCGCACTGGAAGCAGACATGATCACGCAGGGATGTTGTGCGTGTCCAAGCAGTACTCGAATACGGCCGGCGGTTCTGGTGCGTGTTCCGGGCTGTTGAGTGAACGCGGCCGTCGAAGTCGTGCAGCAGCAATAGCACTCGCCGCGCAAACCGAACACGAACGTGTGTGCGCAGCGGTCCGGGCCCGCGTGTGTGCGTGCGTTAGTCGCGTGATAATCGAGGAGACTCGCGGCGGCGGCGGCGGCGGCGGCAACTCGTAGTAGTGCAACAGCAGCAGCAGCAGCAGCAGCAGC